AGACCACACAACCCAGGGCCCCAGAGCCAGAAAATAAAGCCTAAAAGCACCGATTAAAAATGTGCTGGAAGAGACTTTTAGCCTCAGAGGAGAATTTGTTAGAGAGACCCACAAGGTCCCAGAACGTATACAAGCCCATCCACCCGGGAATCAGCACCAGAAGGGCCCAATTTGCTTGTGGGAAGCAACAGAGGGGACTGAAATCTGAGAGAGAGAAGAAATGCCATTATCCCCTTTATCCCCACCCCCTCATACAGCGTCACAACCCAGAAACTGGGTTGCCCCGCCCTGGTGAAAATCTAAGGCTCTGCCATTCATACATAATAGGTGCCACCTGACCAAAACATTATGGCTCAAACAGAAGAACATATCAAAGCCTCAGAGGTAATGCTTTTAAGCAACAAAGAGATAGCCAACCTATCAGATACACAGTTCAAAACACTGGTAATCAGGATGCTCATAGAACTGGATGATTTTAGTCACAAATTAGATGAAAAAATAAAGGCTATGCTAAGTGAAAAGAAGCAAAATGCACAAGGAACCAATAGTAATGGAAAGGAAACTGGGACTCAAAATCAATGGAGTGGACTAGAAGGAAGAAAGAAACAACCAAACAGAAAAGAATGAAAAAACAAGAATTAAAAAAAAAATGAGGAGAGGCTTAGGAACCTCCAGAACATCTTTAAACGTTACAACATCTGAATTATAAGGGTACAGAAGGGGAAGAGGAGCAGCAACACGTGGAAAACTTATCTGAACAAATAATAAAGGAGAACTTCCCCAATCTGGCAAAGGAAATAGACATCCAGGAAGCACAGAGAGTCCCAAAGAAGTTGGACCCAAGAAGGAACACACCAAGGCACATTATAATTGCATTAGCCAAGAATAAAATGAAGGAGAGAATTCTAGAAGCAGCAAGAGATAAGGGGACAGTCACCTACAAAGGAGTTCCTATCAGACTGTCAGCTGATTTCTCAGAAGAGACCTTACAGGCAAGAAGGAGCTGGAAAGAAGTATTCCAAGTCATAAAGGCAAGAACCTACATTCAAGATTGATCTATCCAGGAAAGCTTTCATTGAGAGTTGAAGGGCAGATAAAGTGCTTCTCAGATAAGGTCAAGTTCAAGAAGTTCATCATCACCAAGCCCTTATTATATGAAATGTTAAAGGGGCTTATCTAAGAAAAAGAAGATAAAAAATGTGAATAGTGAAAGGATAGCAAAATTACAGTTATTAACAACCACACCTAAAACAAAAGCAAACTAAGCGTACACCTAAAACAGGAGCGGAGCCACAGAAGTGGAGATCACATGGAGGGTTAGCAACAGAGGAGTGGGAGGAGGAAGGGGGAGAAGGTACAGAGAATAAATAGCATAGATGGTGGGGAGAAAATACACAGGGGGAGGGCAAGAGTAGTGTGGAAAATGTAGATGCTAAAGAACTTATGACACATGGACATGAACTAAATGAAGGGAAATGTGGGGTAAAGGAGGTGTGCAGGGTGGAGGAGAGTGAGTGGGGGAAAGGGGACAACTGTAATGGCATAACCAATAAGATACATTGTGGGAGAAACTTTGCCCGCAAGTCCCTGCATCTGCCACGGATGAAAATAAAACTACCAAGACATGATCTGCTTGGGGAGGAGAGGTGGTCAATGTCTCAAAGGAAAAAGACCAAGAACCCCTTCCTCAATGACTTTTATTAGGTTTGTAATACACAGGAATACAGGTAAAGCACATCAGTCAATGTCAGGTGGCAAGGATCAAACAATAGATAACATTTCAAAGAAATCTGAGGCATTAATATGAGTCAGTTTCTGTTAGGTACGGGGATTGCAAAAACTTTGGGAGACATACTCATTTCCTGCTCAGACCCTTATCGTATGAATGAAAGCACTCTTAGCAAAGCAGACTTCACAGGACTTTATGAATTCTTTCTTATGCCCGGTCACCCCAGAACCCACTCTAGCTGGCAGAGGGATGCACTGCCCTCCACATCATAGGTTTTTAGGCTTAGGTGGATTAGAGCCAGAAAGCTCTTCTCCCAGACAGAAATGGGGACGCAGGCTATGTCAGAATAGCCGGGGGACGAGGGTCCATCACTCCCTTTTTGTTGTAGGCCCCTGAGTCCTTCTTTGAAGGCCTCCCAAGTGATTGTGTCTGGCTTAGGTTGCCTCCTCTCTGAGGGGTCTTACCCATCATTGACTAACCAACCAAGCGTTGGGGGCCAGAGATAGATAAAGCAGAAGCAGCATTCCTGCGAGGGAGATAAGGTTTGTCTCCTTAGTGGCTCACAGTCCAAAGCTCACTCACTCAGCCTTATCTATGGGGGGTTTACAGCTCCTGAGACCAGGCAGAGCAGTTCCCAACAATACATTATACAAAAAAAAAATTTACAGGACAGCAAGCCTACTAGCAGCATGCACACAAAGTTTACTAATGCTAAGTTCTAATAGGAAAGCAAAGCATGGGTGGCAACAGTACAGGCCTAATGGCCAAATGAGGTGGCCTGGGCCCCCCCAAGCCAGAGGCCAGCCGGCCAGGGGTCCTCCATGTGCCAAGAGAGTCACGGGGCCAGGAGAAGGGAGTGAGCCCTTCATTCTGAGGACTTATATCACTGATGGGGTGGGGCAAAGAAGTTACATTTTGATTAGCAGGTAAAGGTGGTGCTGGTCTCCCCTGAAGAGACGTGACTACCCCAATGTAGGTATGGGTGGGGGTCTGTTAGCTGAATCCTCATCTTGTTCCAGACTCTATTTGTTCATTTTAGGTACATTTTTGGGGGCAGGCCATTAACCAAAGTTGTTTTATATTTTTTTTTGAGGGGAGGCACTGTGGACCCCTCCCTTTCTATCTGCCAGGATGAATATACGGACTCAAGGTTTTCCTTTTCCCAGCTAGTGGAGATGATATGCACAGACTTTGAAGAGCTCCTGCCTCCTACACTATCATAGTTTCACTTGTTTGGGACTCCTGACAGCCTTTTCAGACCAGGCTCAGGACTGTGGGCTTTTGCTTGTAGCCCCCTGCAGTAAGCGTTTGTTAGATTGTAATGGTGAGGGCCCTGCCTTTATTTCCCCTCTGGTTGCTCATTCCACCATAACATTCCCCCTCAAGTAATAATGACCCAAATCTCTGGGGACTTTGGGCTCAGGGCTACTGGGCCAGTGGGTGAGACATGGCTGCCCTCTCCTTCCTGCCTTGGTTTGCTCTCTATCTTACCTCACATAATGACCTTTTAAATTAAAAAAAAAAAAACAAACATAATAGACAGCACAGCACAGCTGTCTATTATGGCTAAAAGTCAAAAAATACTTGTAATTGCATTACCCAGGTTCAGGAAGATGTTAAACACTCTTGGCTGGTGTTTTAGTATTTAAAAATACTACATATAGTTCTGGCTAGTGTGGTTCAGTTGGTTGGGCATCACCCATGCAGCAAAAGGTCACCAATTCAGTTCCCCATCAGGGCACATTCCTGGGTTGCAAGTCCAGTCCTGGTTGGTACTCATACAAGAAACAACTGATTGGTGTTTCTCTCACATCAATGTTTCTCTCCCTCTCTTCCCCCACCCCAAAATAGGTAAATAAAATATTTTTAAATACTGCATATAATAAATAAATCATTTGAAATTATGTGTACATTAAAGGCAGTGTCTTTTTTTATTTAGTTATTTTTCAAGTATAGTTTTCTGTCTATTTCTCCCATTCCAGTCCACCCCTCCCTGTGCTCCCCACCTCCCTCCCCTTTCCACCCCCCTTAGTTATTGTCCCTGTGTCCTTTATACTTGTTCCTCTAAATCCCTCCCATTTTTTTCCCTTAAATTCCCTCCCCTCCCCCCTCTGGTGGCAGAAACATATACAAAACAGAGCTGTGTATTCACTAGCTGACAAAAATGATCTCACCAGAGATTCACAGGAACTGTGTTTTCCCTAGGAGCAACGGATCAGTGTTTATTACCTTAGTGTTGGCTGTGTCTTCAACACAAGAGCCACAACCAGTAGGAAGGTAGAGTGTGTACACCCCTTGCTTTGGTCTCACTTCAATCCTGACTATCGACACTTTTTTCTTGAGCATCTTTTTGCTTCTGTGACACGCTTGCACTGCTGCCTCTCAGACTGCACCTTTATCAGTGCTTCTCAGATTTCAATGTACCTAAGGAATCCCTTGCTGATTTTGCTAAAGAGCAATTATGATTTAGTAATTTTGAGGTGAGGTCCAAGAATATAGATTTCTACCAGCTCCAAGGTGGTAACTCTGTTTATCCCTGAAACACAGCAAATAGCGAGGACTGTATCCTGCCTTTCCCTTTTTGTTTAAAATACTTGGAACAAAAATTTCACACAAATAGGTCTCTACAGTTGTAAGAATAGTTAGAGGCAAAATTGTTTGTCTTTTCAGGGACTCAGAGAAGTCACCAAGGAACTAGTAAAGTATGAAGACTTTTAACAAAAAGCATAAAATGTCTCAACTACAACACACGTCAGGAAGATAAACAATAAGAAAAGACTATATTTGGCATAAACTTAACACAGTTTTTTTCACTGAAAGTATACTCCATACAGTTAATACACTTTATAAATAATACAAACTTTAAGAAAATACAGACTTTGCTCTCAGAAAACTTAAAAATTAGAAGGAAAAGGGACCTGCATAGCTGTAACAGAGGATAAAAAGTATAAACTGGGCAAAGGGTGCTGCAAAGTGTGGTGGGAGTTCATACACTGCTTCCACTTGTGAATCAGGGAACGCCCCCCCCCCAAGAAGTGACATCTTACATGGGCCTGAGATTCATTAATTTTCCAATATGTAGAGATTACTAGGATCCCATTTTATCCAGAGTTAACATATGAGTTTTAAAATCTCAGAACCGGGTCAGAAAGCAAATCCTGCAAAATTACAACTAGTGTATATTAATAACAGACCATTAGATAAACATAGGTAAACAACAACAAAAATTGTACAAAAGAAAGTTGAAAGGACATGATCACCATGCTGAGTTTTAAGTATATTTTGAGTCCCTGGGCTGCTGGGATCTCTCCAAAGGAAGAAGAGTGGGAGCAGGTTCACAGTGTGTCCTAATAAGAACAGAGATAAACATTACTGTGCATGAGGTGGAGGTGAGAATTGAAGAGTAAAAGGAAAGGGACTGGAGAAAGAAGAATTAGGAGAAAGGGAAAAAAATACAGGACAACAAGTAAGGAGTGGATAAAAGAAAAGGAAAGATGGATACAGAAAACTCACCAGCGCTTTTTAAGCCAAAATGCAAGACCTGTCAGAAGAAGCACCAGGGGGACCATCACTGCCAAGATGATCAAGCCCTTGGACTTAGGACGGTCTGTGGGTTCAGGTGCACACGAGGGTGTCATTTCAAATCCACCCCTTGTTACTGCATTTCCCTCACCTGCTTTTTTAAATCTGAATGTTCGCCTCACTAATCTCCTTTCTTCCTGTCATCCCTTTTCACAGATGAATCTTTCATCTAACCCTGAACATCTTCCTACATCTGCATGTCTTTTATTTTCAAATCTAATTTATTAATTTATTTTCATTCTTTTGGGTTTGGAGTCCATAAATTCCAGATTTTTATCTGGCTCTTTGGCTCTGCTTGTGGACCATCTACTCCTACTCCCAGTGTGGACCCCAGTTGTTTCTTACCCAAGTAGAGGATGATGTCCTGGCCTTCTAGACTGCTGTGTGTCACCCGGCAAGACAGGCCAGATGTCTTGGTGGCTTCCACGTCCAGGTAACTGCGAAGATACCATGTCCCATCAGCATTGGGCAAGATATCACTTTGTTGAGAGGCCTGTTGTGGCTGTCCACCTCGCATCCACGTAATGGAAATTGGCTTTGGGTAGAAGCCAGAGACATGACAAACCAGCAACAGATGGTGAGGACCAGGACTGGGGCCAGTGGACAGCCAGGCCTCTGGTTTTACTGCAGAAGACAGGAAAGACATTCAGATAAGGACTCTAACACAGAGTTGGAGGTTCATATCTTCACATCAGTTTAGAGAGACATCTCTGCCACACCCTGGGAATTCATCACGCATCATCCCTCTTCTCTTGACTCCTTCTAAGTTTAAAGGGATGGTAGGAAGGTATAATTTTAGAATAGAAAATTCTTGGAGGAAGGATATGGGACTGACCTTTTCTCTGGAGATCTGCCTTCCCTGCATCAAGGAGACCCAAAAGGAAGCGTGGACAAGTGTTACTGATCCTCCACTGCGTTCCTTTGTTGAAGACAATGAGCTTGTTGAATACTTTGCACATCTTCTGAGCTCTAGTTCCACCCTGTAGAGATGGCACCCATGAACTGTTCTGGAAGCTCAGAATCTCTGATCCTTGATAAGCAAGTTGCCAGAAGTGTAGCTTGACTTTCCCAGAGTGCAGCTCACAGCCTATTGTACATTGTACCTCAAAGGGATCTAGAGAAGAGGGGTTGTAAATTAGAGGAAAGAGGGAGATAAAAAAGATGAAATAAGTAGAAGCAAAAAAAGGAAATAGAAGAGAGAAGTTTGGGGGATATGAGGTAATGAAGCAAAGTTTCATTTTCTCAGAAGTTCAGAAAAAACATAATTGGTGGTACTTGAAGGTGAAAAAATGAGTGACTTTTTCTTTGGAAATGGAAGGGAGTAAATTGTTGAAAGAAAATTGCCTAAATTTTCTTTGGTGAGAGCAAGAGAATAAAGAAGAACTTAGTGTGAGAGAATTGTGTTTACAGTAACTAGGTTGAATGAGATAAATTAGGTTACAGTGATTGTACAGGTAGAGATTGCTAAGGAGATTGAATATGGAATAAAATTGTAATAAAAAACCCATTGAGACAAACATGCCCCACCCAACATTGCACCAGCTACCTTTGGGAATTGAACTTACATTCAATCATCCATTCACGGGCATGGTTTTGAAGTACATGCAGCAATTCATTGTGGGCCCCTTGGATTAATTCTTCTATTTCTGTCATCTCCTTCTTGCTGAAGTTGCCATTGGACCAAGGCCGCAGGGAAATAAAACCACCAGAGTTGTCCTTCCAGGTCTTAATCTGCAACTCACCCAACCAACCAGAGCCCCAACTTTGGGTCCAGGAGTGGTTATGTAACGATAAAGTACCGATGATTTTGAAGATTTGGTCCTGGAAGGCTATTTAAAAAAATAAAAAAGATAGGAGGAGGGGGAAAAAAGGGATTGGGAAGGAAAGAGAAGGAAGAAAGAAAAATTCCAGAAAGGGAAATCTCAGAATCTGGAAATAAGAGAACCCATAGATACTTCAGCAGACATTCACCTGCCCAGAGCCCCATGCTTTCTGTAAGGTTTGAGGCAAAAATAGATTTATAGTTTTTCATAGGAAAAACCATACTATAATTAATAAGTAATAACACAAGAATAAATTTTGTTTCATATGCTTACAATTGTAAACCTACTCTCCCCCACCTTGCACAACCTTCAGAAAGCACAGGGTCCTGAAGTGATGCTGAAGGGATACTCAGAATGGAACTGTGCTGACATTCTCACTCTCCAGGTATGTTCTGAGGACCCCACACAGAGAAACACACACACACACACACACACACACACACACACACACACACACACACGCTTTTGCACCCAGTGGGCAGTTGCCGGAGTTCTTACCATCTTCACTGTCACCACCTCCGAAGAGAACTGCTAGCAATGAAATTCGCAAAAACAGCATTACTGCACAGATGTTACTTCTTTCTCTCAGAAAAGTTTGTCTTTGATTTCTGTTTTAAATAAACCCTACCCCACAATACTTCTGTCTGACTTCCTTCTACCAATAGAAAAACCAGCACCATCACCCCTGCCCCAGTAAAAAAAAAAAAAAAAAAAAGAAGAAAACCAACATACTCCTTCCCTACACCCTTGTTACCAGTTAGCTTCTCATTTCTCCTCCAGTTCTGACTCTCCTCATGGGCTTTCAGCATCTTCCCCTCGGTACCAGCCTTCATTCTGGTCACCTTTCTCTAATTCAGCCTCTATGGAATAAAGTCTTATGTGGTATTGAAAAGTCTTCTCATTCATACAATAAATGTATAAAACTAAATGGCTTTCCAATTACCATCTAATGTTCTTATGTCCCTGCTTTTTTCTGTCACTCTCTCCTTCTCTTGCCAAATTTAAATAGTCTCCAAAATATTTTCTTCTGTCTCTGAGACACCCCACCTCATTCGTATTTCTGACATCTCATTGTTTGCTTTACTGATTTCCTGAATCTTCTGTGACTGCCTGTGTAACAGTGTAAACTACTACTCCATTATTCTTAGGGAAGATCCAGTAGCCTTCACAGACATCACAGAAACTGTGAAACACATTAAGAAAAATCTCTATTTGACTTGTGTTGATGTGTATTCATTGACCTGAGAGTCACTTGGTGCCTGCCTGGTTACACTCATCTTGCAACCCTCATGAATATATAGTTGTGTACAATGCACTCACTTTGTTCAAGGAGCTTTTATTCTACTTAAGAAGAAAACACAAAACCAAAAACTATAAATCTTGGTGTGGTGGGTTTTATTATAAATATAGACACTAGACAAAAACAAGCCTTCTTGAAACAATATTTTGTGAAGTGGCAACACTTTTGCCTGCTCAGAATCTGGACTTGAGTGGTATGCTCGGGGTGTTAGGTCTGTCTACCTCTGTTGTACTGGATCTCCAACATCTTACAGAATGCCTGTTAAAGGTGCTCAGTGAATCATTTTGAAAGATTGAATAATTTGGTTTAGGAATCCAGTTATTTTTTAATCATTCAGATTTTAACATACTTTTTAAGACATCAAAATCATTATTTGTGCTTCTAGTTGGTGAAATGGGAATATTAAACAGTTTCATTTAGGAGTAAAATATATGCTAATAAGCATGAAATTTACACAAAGGCTTGTGATATAAATCTCCTATTACTTATACCTTAAACCTGTGGAGATCAGTTAAAAAATTACAGTGTAGGTGGCATGTATTCAAGAGATACATTCATTAGTAATATGTGCTGAAATGTGACAAAAATTTTTTCAATTGCAAATTGCATTATATTTTTGTGAAAATGTGTTTTTAAATTTTCAGTTAAAATCTACAAATTATTAAGCAAAGAAATATAAAAATGTAAAGAATTAAAGTTATTATTTTTAAATAACAGAAACATTGATATAGCTAAGAAAACAATTAAAATGTCTTTAACATTAATCAGAATCTTCAATAGATGGCTTTGTAAAATGTTTGTAACACCACAAAAAATATTGTTATGCTCATCATAAATACTTTTTACAACACTAGCAAAAACATTTTGATAAGCAACCCATTTTGAATGCATAGTACCTAACATGTCTTTTTTTTTCCTGCTTGTTAAGGAAGCTATATCTATGCTGTCCTTAAAATTTCCTTCAATTTATGTTTGAAATGGATGAAGTTTAAGGTGTAAAGACTTATGCAAAGCTGTAGAGATTCCTGAACACCTGTTTATTTGTTCTGACACTGACCCTGTTATAAGATTTTTTTTACAGTTTTATTTATTTATTTATTTATTTATTTATTTATTTTTGTCTTTACATCACCTTTCTTAAAAAATATTTTTTATTGATTATGCCATTAGGGTTGTTCTGTTTCCCCCCTTCATTCCCCTCCACCCTGCATACCCCCTCCCCCACCATTCCCCCCCTTTAGTTTATGACCACGTGTCTCAAGTTCTTTAGATTTTATATTTTCCCTACTATTTTTGCCCTCCCCCTATCTATTTTCTACCTACCATCTATGCTACTTATTTTCTGTACCTTCTCCCCCCTTCTCCTTCTCCCACTCCCCTGTTGCTAACCCTCCATGTGATCTTCATTTCTATGGTTCTGCTCCTGATCTAGCTGTCCTCTTAGTTTGCTTTTGTTTTAGGTGTGGTTCTTAATAACTGTGAGTTTGCTGTCCTTTCACTGTTCATCTTTTTTATCTTCTTTTTCTTAGGTAAGTCCCTTTAACATTTCATATAATAATGGTTTGGTGATGATGAACTCCTTGAATTTGATCTTATCTGAGAAGCACTTTATCTGCCCTTCCCATTCTAAATGAAAGCTTTGCTGGATAGATCAATCTTGGATGTAGGTCTTTGGATTTCATGAGTTGGAATACGTCTTTTCAGCTCCTTCTTGCCTGTAAGGTCTCTTTTGAGAAATCCACTGACAGTCTGATGGGAACTCCTTTGTAGGTGACTGTCCCCTTGCTGCTTCTAGGATTCTCTCCTTCATTTAATCTTGGCTAATGTAATTATGATATGCCTTGGTGTGTTTCTCACTGGGTCCAACTTCTTTGGGACTCTCTTGTGAAAACCAAGATAGAATTGAGGGATTTATTGGATAGTAAGATTAGATAACAACTTTTGGCCAAGATGGAGCCTTAGGTAGATGCACTACCTCCTCACACAACCAAAAAAAAAAAAAAAACCCCAGCAAATCAAAACAACAAAAATAATCAGAGTTGCCATAAAATTGAACTGTATGGAAGTCCAACAACCAAGGAGTTAGAGAAAAAACATTCATTCAGACTTTTAGGAGGGGCGGGGATGGGCAGCCTGAGTGGAGAGGATGTGTGGCAAGACTGGAGAACCTACCAGGTGAGGTGGTGGCTGGTGAACCAGGCAGTCTGATATTGGTGCGGGGATGAACTGGGAGGAACAACTAGGGAGTGAAATAGACTGTGCAACCCAGAGTTCCAGTGCAAAAAATTAAAGCTTTCAAAACCTCTGACTAAAAAACATGTGGGCATTGTGGTGATGGAAGAAACTTCCAGCCTCACAGGAGAGTTCATTGGAGAGACTCACAGGGTCCTAGTAGGTACACAAACCCACCAACCCAGGAATCAGCACCAGAATGGCTCCCTTTGCTTGTGGGTAGCAGGGGAAGTGACTGAAAGCCAGTCGAGAGCTGAGCAAAGGCATTGTTCCCTCTCTGTCCCTCACCCATATACAGTGCCACAACCCAACCAAGTGGGTTTCTCCACCCTAGCGAATACTTAAGGCTCCAACCCTTACAGCGTAACAGGAATGCACAGACAAAAAAATATGCCCAAATGAAAGAACAGATCAAAGTTCCAAAAATAGAACTAAGCAATGAAGAGATAGCCAACCTATCAGATGCACAGTTCAAAACACTGGTAATCAGGATGTTCACAGAATTGGTTGAGTGTGGTTACAAAAAAGAGGAAAGAATAAAGGCCTTGCAAAGTAAAATAAAGAATAATATACAGGGGGCCAGCAGTGAATGGAAAGAAACTGGGACTCAAATCAACAGCTTGGACCAGAAGGAAGAAACAAGAATTCAAAAAAATGAGGACAGGCTTAGGAACCTCCAGGACAACCTCAAATGTTCCAACATTCAAATCATAAGGGTGCCAGAAGGAGAAGAGGAAGAGCAAGAACTTGAAAACTTATTTGAACAAATAATGAAGAAGAACTTCCCCAATCTGGCAAAGGAAATAGATGTCCAGAAAGCTCAGAAAGTCCCAAAGAAGTTGGACTCAAGGAAGCACTTACTAAGGCACATCATAATTACATTAACCAAGATTAAAAATAAGGAGAAAATCTTAAAAGTAGCAAGAGGAAAGGAGACAGTTACCTACAAAGAAGTTCCCAGAAGACCATCAGCTGATTTCTCAAAAGAAACCTTGAAGGCAAGAAGGGGCTGGAAAGAAGTATTCAAACACATGAAAGGTAAGGACCTACCTCCAAGATTACTCTATTTAGCAAAGCTTTCATTTAGAATGGAAGGACAGATAAAGTGCTTCCCAGATAAGGTCAAGTTAAAGGATTTCATCATCACTAAGCCCTTATTATATGAAATGTTAAGGGGACTTATCTAAGAAAAAGATAAAAAATATGAACAAAGGACAACAAACTCACAACTGTCAATGACTGAACTTCAACAAAAACAAATGAAGCAAACAACCAGAACAGGAACAGAATCAGAGAAATGGAAATCACATGTAGGGTTATCAGCAGGGAAGGGGTTGGGGGAGAATGGAGGAATAGGTACCAGGAATAAGGACCATAAATGGTAGGTCCAAAATAGACACAGGGAGGTTAAGAACAGTATGCAAAATGTAGAAGCCAAAAAACATATGAATGACCCTTGGACATGAACTAAGGGGAAATAATGTTAGTGGGAGGGTGGTGCAGGTCAGAGGGGAATAAAAGGGAGAAAAAAAAGAGAAACTGTAATAGCATAATCAATAAAATATATTTTAAAAGCACAAAAACAATGAATGAAACCAAAAGGAAGCCACATCTGGAGGTTGATGAAGTCCTCCTAAGTGTCTTTGAAGGCTTTTTTCCCCCCTGAACTCTTACATCATATGAAAGAGATACAAATTTCTATTGTGCTTATAACAATAATATTAGATAAATAAAATATCATGTGTGACAAAGCAGTTCCAAATTTCAAGATTTGTCTTGACATTTTTTTGTGTTTGGCCAAAAGAATGGAAGTTGACACCAAATATTCTGCAGCTGTTTTCTAATTTGTCTTAATGATTTTTTCCTCATTTTGATTCTTTATCCTATGTGAAAAAATACTCTTCATTCCCATCTAATTCATCTTCACTTTCTTCACTAGAAATATCTTACTTACTGTCTAAATCTTCTGAACAAAATTCCACATAATCTTCATCTAAAGCACTCTCATTTTCACATTTGACTCAACA